TGGGTTCCAAGAAACCTGGTGTTGGGTTCATCGAACCCAGGCTCTGGGTTTCAAGGAACCCAGCTAGGTTCGTTGCCTGGGCTTGGGTTCGTCGAACCTAGCACTGGGTTCGATGAACTTGGCATTGGGTTCGACAAACCCAGGCCTAGGCGACGAACCCAGGTGATCTGGGTCCCTCGAACCCAAGCGATCTAGGTTTGGCCTGGGTTCGATGAACCCATGCGTTGGGTTCAACGAACCCAGCTAGGTTCGAAGGAACCCATCGCCTGGGTTCGACGATCCCAAGCTCTGGATTCCTTCAAACCCGGTGCTGGGTTTGATCAAACCTAGGCACTGGGTTCTTCAACAAAAAAATAAATAAATTTTTTTTGTGTTTTTGTGGGTATTGTTTGATGATGATGATGATGATGATGATGATGATGATGAATTTATTGATGAAGAAGGAAAGGAAGAGGAAGGAGAAAGGGAACAAGGAACGCCCAGTTGGGTTTGAAGGAACCCATGGCGAGGGGTTCGACAATCTCAGGCTCTGGGTTCAGGAAATGAAGAGGAAGGAGAAAGAATTTTTAAAATTTTTATTGCCATGTCACTAGCGTTTGCCATGTTGTCTTCCATATGGATTAAAATTTTGACATGTCATCATCTTACCGTGAATTAACAGTACACGTGGAGAGATTTTTAACGGAAGGACCAAATTGGGGTAAAAATGGTAAACAGTAAGGACCAAGTTAGGGATTTTTTGAGTTGAAGGACTTAATCGAGGGTCTGTTGAGGGAAAAAAGGTTTAACCTATTCTAAAACTGCACTTGAGGACTAAGAATATTCTGGGGATACTACCGTCGTCGTCACGACAGGATTCTTAAAATAGACGACTTTTCTCTTTCTAAATTTATGAAAATTAGCATCTCATTTGTTATTTGCTGACTTTTGCTAAATGTATACTCCTCATCCAGTCATTCTTCTGATTGTCGTGTAGCTATTTCCGTGGTCAAGAAAATTCAATTTTAATATAAGCTGTTGATTTTAATTAATCATATATTTGGGTAAAGGAGAATTGAGAGAGGAAAATGATTTTTGACTATTCAAATTATATCCAAACATACTATAAATGATTTTAGGATTGTAAAGTAAATTAAAGGAGAATATAAAATTTGAAGTCCTAATAATTGACCATGGATTAAATATATTTTTTCTGTTTTCATTTTAGGCTTTTAGCCCTAATGACATAAAACAATTAATTAAGAATAAAAAATTTACATTTTAAGATAACGTGCTATGTTAAAAAAAATTCCATAGGAAAAGTTGTTAAAAATATTCTAGGGACTGTTTAGTTAGAAGACCAACTTTATTAGAAAGTTTTTATGAGAAAATTGGTTAGAAAAGTATTATACAAGAAATTGATGAGTTTTGTAATAAAATTTTATTGAGTAGTTAATTTTTTTGTATTTAATAAGAAATTAATATAAAGAAAATTAATAAGAAAATTGTCAAGTGGTCCTATATAGGGAAAATTGAGAGAAAACTTTTTTTTTTTTCAAATAGTGTGAAAAGAAGTTTATAGATTGGGAATTGTACCAAGAAGATAAATGGTGAAAGTGAGGATGGACGGAAATTTTCATATTCTATCACTTGGTGGACAGGAAGTTCGAACGTGTCTATTCATTCATTCTTTCACCATCAACTTGTGGTTCTTCTTAACATGAAACTGTTGACGCAATCATAAAATATGGGGCGCTAGAAGTAATAAACAAATTAATTTCTCCTAGTTGAACTCCAAGGTCGTAATATGAGATGGGAATGAATGCGGCGAAGCCTGGTAGTCTGTAGAGTTTCTCAGGAGGACTGTTTTTTTGTAATTTATGGCTTTGCTAGTGCTTCCTCTAGGTCCATGAAAATGCTGAATAAATTCTAACATTTGATCATGGATAACTTACCCTTTGTAGTTTGGTCATTATTTAGTATCTTTAGCTTTCAATCCATTCATGTTGAACTTAGTAATGTTTGCTTGATAATTTTTTCATCAAAATGTAGGCATTGTAAGGCAAGGCAGACTGCTGTAGTCAAGGACAAAAGAGAGAAGCAGCAAAGGGTGTGTCATCTATGTTTGTTTTCTGAATTTTCTAATTCCTTTTAAGTCTTGGTTGCTCTGATTGTCTTGTTGGAACAGGATAAGGGCCTAATTTTGACAATGGAAGCCCTCTCGAAGGCACTCCAAGAGGTAAGCATTCAAGTTTTTTATCTCACCTCTGGTCTGATTCCAAAATATTACCCTAGTTTCTGACAAGCAATTATACATGTTTGTGTCACATTCTAATGTTATCTAAAGTGGTAGGATTCCTTTGGAGTGTTTTTAATTTTAGCATAAGCAGTCTGGCTTTCCATCCATAAAGGTTCACCCACGCAGCCCAGGACAACGCATTTATACAATGAACAAGCAAACCAACTTCATCTGGTTCTGTTGGTATGCAAATCACTTTCTCCCTTTAGTCTTTCTGTTTTAACTCACTCATGGCATGGATGTTGAGATTTTTCCGGATTTTAAGAAATCTAAAATTCGTTCTATGTTATGCACTGTGTACTATAATTTCTCGCATTAATATCTCTTTTTTATATGTAAAAGTAATAAGCTTTGGTTTCCTTGAATGGGCAGGATGGTGTGAATGTAAAGCATCAAGAATACTTTGCTGATATCCCTTCAACTGGGATGGATCCTGCCTCTAGAGAAGATCAATAAGCTGAGTTGACTACACTCTTATTGTTGGCCAATACACTTGGTTCATTGTTTGGATGCAACAGGTGCTACTACTCCTAATTTATCATAACAAATTGCTCTGTTTTCCGTCAGCATAATGCATTTTGACTTTCCAGATCATTATTCAATTAGAAAACAGTTTCTTTTTTGTCCTCTCTCTCTCTCTCTCACACACACACACATATGTATGGATATTGCTTAACAATATTCAAGCAGACTAGAGAAAGGGTGCATTAATTGGGAATTTATCAAAATATTGAGTAACCTTCATGCTTACGGAATTGAATTTTCCCTTGAAATTTCTCTTGAATGCAAACTTTCCCTTCCTGCCAAGCAGTTAGTTAAATGATGTTCTTAAAAGCATGGTTATCAAAATTGCGTTTTACCTCATGAGCTTGTACAATTTTATAATTTTAGATATGTAATTCGTGTAAAGTTTAAGTCAAAATTGAGATTCTATCAACTCTTATAGTAAAATCATAAAATGAATAAAATTGAGATAGTACAAATTTAAAAGGTTTTATAAATTGTTGTGTCATGATGTAATTAATAATTACCAATAACGTATTGGTGGAGCTGTTGCTTATATATGGGTTATTTTATAGTGATTTGAATCTTGGTCAATTTGGTCTTTTTGGATTTTCAAGTAAAAATTTTAAGGTTTTATTAATTTTTTTATAAATTAAACTAATAATATTTTATTATGAATTTTTTTTATCAAAACTATTAAAATTTGAAACAATTTAGTAACTATGAAGTAGAAAAATATTCAAAAAGGACTTCAAATAATTAATTAATAATTAAACTTTTTAGATAAATTTTAAATTTAAATATTTGATATTAAATTTTAGTATTATATAAGTTTTAAACTAATTAAATAAATTTTCAATTTTATTAATTTGATTTTATGATTTTAATTTTACTTAAAATTTTCATTTTGACAACCTTCTTAAAAGTACGAATTTGACCATTCTTCAACACTCTCTATCGAATACCGTGTCGTACATACTTTTCAAACACGATGGCTATCACCATCAGTCAATAAATAATGGTATCTCTTTTGGTCAGAGAACCATACTCCGGAAAAGAAAAAATGGGGCTTATTCCTATCGCACCCTCACTCAGTTTTTCCTGCTATTTCATTGTCTTTCTCAGGTTGTTCTTGGTGGAGGTGGAGGTAGCTGTGGCTCAAAATAATACGGCCACCACAACAATTCCAGTGAATGTGGGTATGATTCTTGACTTGGATGAATGGACGGGAAAGTTAGGGCTGAGCTGCCTTAACATGGGTCTTTCCGACTTTTATTCCAATCATAGTGACTATAGAACCAGGCTGGTTTTAAACACAAGGAATTCCAAGGGAGATGTTGTTGGGGCAGCTGCTGCCGGTACTTACTTTGTCCCCTCTTTATTACTCATTTATCTCTTAATTTGTTCCCTATTTTCTCTCAATGATTTGAAGTTGAAATTATGTTATAAATTATTTTTCAAAGCTCATTTTTATGAGTTTGACAATCTCTTTAATGTAACTTCTTACATTTCCAGTCATTTTCGAGGTGGAAGTAGTTTTGATTTTAAAAAAATAAATTTATTTTAGTGCAACTTCCTTTCGAAAAGTATCTGATATGATTTATACCTTTATGGGCAGTTTTGGACTTGATCAAGAATGCACAGGTACAAGCAATCATAGGGCCCGAGAATTCAATGCAGGCAAACTTCATCATAGACGTCGGAAACAAAGCTCAAGTACCCATCATCTCCTTCTCCGCAACCAGTCCTTCCCTTTCCTCCATCCGGCACCCATATTTTTTCCGAGCAACACATAGTGACTCGTCTCAAGTCAAAGCTATTAGTGCCATAATCAAAGCCTTTGGATGGAGAGAAGCCGTGCCCATATACGTAGACAACGAGTTTGGAGGAGGGGTCATACCATATTTGTTCGATGCCTTGGAAGAGATCAACGTCCGAATTCCCTACCGGAGTGTTATTTCTCCGGGGGCTACTGATCAAGAAATTGAAGAAGAGCTACACAAGTTAACGACAAAGCAGACTAGAGTCTTTATAGTTCATATGACCTCAGTTCTTGGGTCTAGGCTTTTTGATATAGCAAAAGAGGTTGGATTGATTAGTGAAGGGTATGTTTGGGTAATGACTAACGGGATGACTAATCTGTGGAGTTGGATGGATCATTCTGATATGGAATCATTGCAGGGTGTGTTAGGTATCAGGAATTATGTTCCAAAAACAACAGAGTTGGAAAGTTTTAAGGGTCGATGGAAAAGGAAATTTCTGCAAAATAATCCAAGCATGGTCAATGCCGAATTGGATATTTTTGGGTTATGGGCTTATGATGCTGCATTTGCACTAGCCATGGCGGTCGAGAAACTTAGCAATGCAAATTCCAGCTTTGAAGAGTCAAAAGGTGTTGGAAGTGCAAGAACAGATCTTGAATCTTTGGGGATTTCTCAAAATGGTCCCAAACTCATCCAAGCTTTGTCAAGTATGAGATTTAAGGGCCTCAGTGGAAATTTTGAGTTCGTTAATGGGCAACTTGAACCCTCTGTTTTCCAGATTGTTAATGTGATTGGAAATGGTGAAAAGGCAATTGGGTTCTGGACGTCCAAATATGGACTGATTAAGAAACTGAATTTTACAAATGTAAAGGGATATTCTACTTCAAGGGCAAATCTTGGAACCATCATATGGCCAGGAGATTCCCATTCCGTTCCCAAATCGAAGAGGTTGAAGATTGGTGTTCCAGTGAAGAAAGAATTTTCAGAATTCGTTAGCGTACCACCGGGTTCAAGTCCCAATTCAAGTGTCATCCCCACGGGCTACTCCATAGACGTCTTCGAAGCCGTTATGAAAGAAATGCCATACTCCGTCCACTATGATTTCTATGCCTTTGTAAATACCGGCGGAAAGCCTGCCGGAAGTTACAATGATCTGATCGATCAAGTCTTTTATGGGGTAAGTAGCTAACCCAGTTAGTTGTCAAACTGTCATTAAAATACTCCAATTTGTTCTTGATAGTTCTGCTCTCTTGAACGTCACTCTTGCTGCTTTGATGTACTACTAAGGCTTGTCTGTCACTGTTGTATTGTGCCATAGTGATAGGTGGGTTTGGGTTGAGGGGAAAGAGTTTAGTTCCTCTTAAATAAGGTTTTGAGTTCAATTCTTGTGAATAGAAAAATAAGCGCTGGAAGAGTTTTTTCTTAATAGGGTCGACACGGTTCAATTCCGGATTAGTCGAGATTCAATGTGGTTATCGGATAAAAAATAGTGATAGGTGGGTTTTTTTTAATCTAAAAAATAATAAAATATTAATTATTTAAAAAAAAAAATAGTGTTGTATATAAAAGGATGTAAAAGCATTGACAAAGTCTTAATTTTTGATTAATTAAAACTTTCACAATTTATCCAAATATATATATATGATCAATTTTACTTTTGCTCTTGCTAGTATATCATTTTAGATTTTTCTAAACATACATCATGTTATCTATTATTGTACTAGCAGTATCTAGTATGACTGAAAAGAAGGATGAAATTTGGCTTTTATTTGGTAGTAACTATGGTCAACAGAAATATGATGCAGTGGTTGGAGACATTTCTATCGTTGCGAATAGGTCACTGTACGTCGACTTCACATTGCCTTATATGGAGTCGGATGTGGTGATGATGGTTCCAATTAAAAACAATTCAAACAAGAATGCCTTGGTGTTCTTGGAACCTTTGACAGGTGACCTCTGGGTCACGAGCACTTGCTTCTTCGTCTTGATCGGGTTTGTCATCTGGGTCCTTGAACACAGAATTAGTGACGATTTTCGTGGACCGCCTTCACATCAAGTCGGAACAAGCCTCTGGTTCTCTTTCGCAATCTTGGTCTTTGCCCATCGTAATGATCCAATAAAAAATTCAAGCTCTCTGGTTTCTAATATAGTGCAAAGTTCGCTCGAGAGAGAGTTTGAGCCAAATGTTCAAAGCTCTTTCGAGTTTTGTTTTGTTTCTAGCTCAAAGCTCAATAGTTTAAAGATGAAAGCTAATTCTGAATTTTGTTTTCAGGGGAGAGAGTGGTGAGCAATTTGTCAAGGTTTGTGGTGATAATATGGTGCTTTGTGGTACTCGTTCTTACACAGAGCTACACAGCCAGTTTAACTTCTCTTCTAACGGTTAAACAGCTGCAGCCGACAGTAACAGATGTGAATGAGCTATTGAAGAGTGGGGAAAATGTTGCGTACAAGGAAGGCTCCTACATAAAAGAATTCATCCAGCGGTTGAATTTCAATTCGGCCAATGTGAAGACATACAGTACGTCCGACGTTCTTGATGAACTTTTTACCAAGGGAAGCGCCAATGGTGGAATCGCAGCCGCTTTCGCCGAAACACCTTACGTGAACATGCTTCTTGAAAAATATTGCATGAAGTACACCGCTGCTGGACCAACTATTAAGACTGGTGGCTTTGGATTTGTGAGTTCTTCAATAGCTCTCTCTTGTCCTCTTACCCATATATCATGCTGATTTTTTTCCCCCTTCTTTTGGTGTGTGAAATTTTTATTTCTAGGTTTTTCCAAAAGGTTCTCCTCTTGTAGCGGATGTTTCGAGGGCAATTTTAAATGTCACTGAAAGTGATAAAATGAGAGAAATTGAAAACAAATGGTTGAAGAAACATTGTACTGTTTCCAGTACCTTGGTCTCTTCTAACAGGCTGGATCTTGGGAGCTTTTGGGGCCTCTTTCTCATTGCTGGGGTTGCTGCGGCATTAGCTCTCATCATCTTTGTGGCCGATTTTCTATACAAGCAAAGGGATGTCTTGCGTGGCTCTGAAGTTTCGGCCTGGAAACGAATCCTTCAAGTGTTAAGAAACTTTGACCAGAAATATCCGAGCTCTCATACCTTTAGGCAAAATGAATTAACTGAGGGAAGGCGAATTGATTACATAGGAATGATGGGCGCTGTTGAAGCCTCGCCAAACACCAACTGCCTGCCTTGTGCATCAAACTCGAACCAGACAGATTTGAGCTCTGTTTTCTTCGGAGAGCAGGGAAGGCCTTCAACTAGTCATGAAGTTGAAGACACAAGCAGCATACCATCTCCAGAAATAGCAATTCATGAGCATACAACATTTCTAGAAGCTACAAAAGAAAAACATACAGTAAACGAATAGATTTGTTAGCAAGAAAATAAAATGGAGGATATACCTTCAAGTGTGGTTGAACATATTTAGAAATTACATGGAAAAGTGCATGAAGTACTAGTTCTGGCAAATATTATACAAGACACCCTATCAGTTTAAGTTGTTCAAGCTTTGGGGCTTTTGAGCCGAAGCACTTTTGTTTTCATTACTGTTATTATTATTAAACGTCATATGTTTAATCTTAATTTTTAAATATATGAGATTTAATTTTATTAAATTTATCATGTAATAAAATATGAAAAATATAAAATATTAAGTGTTAATATCATTATTGATTATGAAATAAATCTAATTTCTCTAATATCATTTCAGGCTTTCAGCCTAAACAACATATAGTAATTAATTAAGAATTATAAATTTATATTTTTTAGATAAATATTATGTAAAATTGATGTAAAAAATGTAGTTGGAGAAATTCTAATTGGCAAAAGTGAAAATGGATGAAAATTTCCATGTCCTATTACTAAGTGGTCAAGAACATGGACGTATTAGATACGTCTCGAACTAATTAAGATGTCAAGCTGTGATGTAGATCTATTTCCTGACCATGGGAGTAAGAAAGCAACGCGCAAAAGAAAAAACGCGGTTTCCTCGAAATGAAACCGTGTGCTCTAGCTTCTAACACCGAGTTGAGAAAAAGATCAGTCAAGCCCACAACCATAAAATCATTGGGTTGGATTAGTCATTAGAGAGACTTTAACAGAAAAATTAATCTTATCTTATTATACTATATATTATATTATAAAAATTGATCAATTCTTTAATAAATTTCAAATAAATATTTAATAGACTTTTTAATATCTTTCAAAGTCTTTAATAAATACAAAATAAATTCTTTAGTAAATATTTACAAAAATACTCAATATGCCATTTAAAATTTTTAGCCAATAAAACTTTAAAAATCTTTAATAAATACCAAAACATAAATCATCTAGTCTTCTAATTCAAATAGAATACTATTAATGGTGGGAATCAAACAACCATGCACAGAGCATAAATGAACAAATATTTTAAATATTTTAAACGTAAGTATGGGCCTTTTGAATCCATTATATACGCTATTATTTCCAAGAAGTGTAAGAACTTACTATAACAATAAATATAATCGATCAATGATAAAAGTAACTTAATGGTAATTCTTTATGGTTAAAAGTGAGAGGTTTTAAATTTAAATTGTAAGATATATGAATGGAGTAGGTTAAATAATAAAAGAAGATAACTTCTTACCGTATAATCCCAAATTAAAAAATATATATATATATATAGGGTTAATTCAATTTTTAGTCTATTAACTATCACCTTGATTTCATTTTAGTCTAGAAACTATGTTTTATTTCTAAGTGGTCTATTAACTTTCGGATTTATTTCAATTTCGTCTACCTGGTTATTTTTGACGGAAAAGTTACTATTCTGTTAGAGAACAGTTAGTCCTCTAAGTATATTTGTTTTGATCTTTTAGTCCTCAAATTTATATTTACTGTAAAAACAGTTTTTATACTTAAAATTATTATTTCTATGCTCTGATATCAGATTTTTATTCGGGTTTTCAGAACTTAATTCAGACTACTACTAACTAATGAATAACTGATAATATTTTAAAAATAGAAATAATTAATGAAAATACCCTAAGAAGAATTAAAAAAATGAGAAAAACCTGAATAAAAATTCGGTATCAGAGCCTAAAAATAATAATTTTAAGTATAAAAGTTATTTTTATAGTAAATAAAAATTTGAGGACTAAAAGATCAAAATAAATATAGTTAGAGGATTAACTGTTCTCTAACAGAATAGTAACTTTTCCGTCAAAGATAACCAGGTAGATGAAATTGAAATGAATCTGAAAGTTAATAGACCACTTAGAAATAAAACATAGTTTCTAGACTAAAATGAAATCAAGGTGATAGTTAATAGACTAAAAATTGAATTAAGCCTATATATATATATATATAAATAATAGTTGTATAGGACTCAATCTTACTTTTGCATTATCA